TGTGTGTGTGTGTGTGTGTGTGTGTGTGTTTGTATTTGTCAGTCTTAGAATTGTTCCATACCTCTTGATTCTGGATTCGTTTCCATCATTGGGTGAGTTCTTTATTGACAGCATCTCGTGTATCGTCTACTGCGCTATGCTATAGTAGTTCTTCCTGGGTACAATGTAAGTATACTTGTTGACAGGCCTACCTTTAATCCTGCACCTCCTATCCTTTTGCATTCTGAACATCTTCGATTGAACAGTGAAAGCACAAACAAAGGTCCTATACGATTTGCTGTATCTGAGCGCCCGATCTTTCCAGCGTTGAAGTCGACCCACATAGGTAGACGGCCGCGAGGCGGAGGGCAAAAATGAAACAAGTACGGAGGGCCATCTGTAAGCGTATACAGTGGGTAGTCAAGTTACATAGTACCACGATTGGGGTATGGTGGCCTGACGAGGAGTTATGCTATCTTGGTGACGGATGTTAGGGTATGATCAAGTGTTGGTAATGAGGTTGACGCCTAGCGCCTGACACCTGCCGAGCGCGCCCCGGGCGACGGCACTGGACGGTACTATATCATCCCCTCTTTATCACGAGCACTTTAAAAAAAGAAAACATAGCAAAGGCTGTGTTATACTGTGTCAACCCACTTTTTGCTCAAGATCGTCACGCTGGTCCTAGATATTGTATTCGCGCTTCTAAGGCTGTTGCGGACCCGCACGATGCAATCGAAAACCGGCTTCTGTCACCAGTCCTACAGTGAGAGAAGGCCTCTACATTGTCCCTCTCGTGGAACCTGCGAGCGGAAACGGAGGGAGAAGATTACTAGATTCGGCAGGAGACTCCTAGCCCCAGTCGTCAAAGCCACTAACCTTGCTGTGATAACCTAGTGTGGGTTCGACCAACCCCACCATGCGATATATGACCATACTCGCACTTTGTACAGAGTCAATATCACTACTTAAGACGTTCAGTAAACCAAGCAAGACTGCGAAGACCAGATATAAAATCGAAATCAGTAACCATGCCTCAAGCCATCAAGCTAAAAGCACCGAATGGTCAAGAGTGGGAGCAGCCGACGGGCCTCTTCATCGACAACGAATTCGTGGATTCATCATCCCCAGCAAACACAATAGCATCAATCGACCCCGCCACGGAAAAGCAGATTGCTGTAGTACAGGCTGCGTCAGAGCAAGACGTTGATCGTGCAGTCCAAGCAGCGAAGAAAGCACTGAAGAATCCAGAATGGAAGCAACTTTGCGTTACTCAACGTGGGCGACTCATGGCAAAGCTTGCAGACTTGATGGAAGAGAACAAAACGCTTCTTGCCACTATCGATGCTTGGGATAATGGTGAGCCTCACCGAATACATGAGTTGAAAACACTAATAGTCGTTAGGCAAGCCTTATAATGTAGCCCTTACCGAAGACCTCCCTGAAGCGTTTTCTACCATTCGCTACTACGCTGGTTGGGCAGACAAGATTTCCGGACAGACCATCAGTACGACCCCCCAAAAGTTTGCATATACCCTACGCCAGCCCATCGGTGTCGTCGCCCAGATCATCCCTTGGAACTACCCTTTATCCATGGCTTGCTGGAAACTTGGACCTGCGCTAGCGTGCGGTAATACGGTTGTATTAAAAGCAGCGGAGCAGACCCCACTATCAATTCTCATTCTGGCCAAACTTATCAAGCAGGCTGGGTTCCCACCTGGCGTCGTAAATATCTTGAATGGGCTTGGACGGGAAGCAGGTGCAGCGTTGGTACAACATCCCCTCGTCGACAAAGTCGCTTTCACAGGCTCTACGACTACAGCTACCCAAATCATGAAGATGGCCGCAGTAGGGCTGAAGAACATTACTCTAGAGACTGGAGGCAAGTCCCCGTTGATCGTCTTTGAAGATGCCGATATGGACCAGGCGGTACGATGGTCGCACGTGGGTATCATGTCGAACCAAGGGCAGATATGCACAGCCACGTCTCGAATACTTGTCCAGGAATCAGTGTTTGATACATTCGTCTCTCAATTCCGTCAGCAGATTAAAAATGTTTCCATCATCGGTAATCAATGGAGCGAAAACACTTTCCAGGGCCCTCAAGTCACGAAGCAGCAATATGAGCGAGTGCTATCGTATGTCGACATCGGTAAATCTGAAGGGGCAGAGCTGATAGAAGGCGGAGAGGCTTGCGAAGGCAACGGCTACTATGTCAAGCCGACAGTATTTACAAAGGTCTCGCCCAACATGCGCATCTACCGAGAGGAAATCTTCGGCCCCTTCGTAGTGATTGCCACTTTCTCAAGAGAAGAGGAGGCGGTGAACATGGCCAACGATTCAATTTTCGGTCTTGGTAGTGCTATCTTCACAAAGGATCTCGAAAGAGCTCACAGGGTGGCTGCGGAGATTGAATCGGGCATGGTATGGGTAAACAGCAGTCAAGATTGCGACTACAGGATACCTTTTGGCGGCGTGAAACAAAGCGGTATTGGAAGAGAGCTTGGGGAGGCAGGACTGGAGGCTTACTCACAGGTGAAGGCAGTACATATTAACATGGGCAACAAGCTGTAAACCTATTAGAGGGAGGGGAAACCGATGATCGTGGTCGAAGATATCAATAGACCCTGCTCTATATGTGTGTGTGTTTTTATATCCGCTGTATCCTGCTCATCAAGCTCGACCTATTGCATTAATACCACTTATGACTGAAGACATCCTTAGGATGGAGATTCAGAGGTGTCCTAGAAGGCGAAAGATAACGGTGGGACCACGGGCATGAGCAGCAAGCTGCCAGAATAAGACAATATGCATAGTTGAACTGATTTTCGATAGGAGGATGGCAATTTACATGTTTCAACGCCTTCACATAGTCGCGTGTCACCGTTTTTGACAGACCATTTCCGACAGCGACGTGATGACCACGAGTAAAAGTCTTGGGCGAAAAGAAACTGTCGGTATTACACAGACGCCCCGCAATCCAAGGTTTTGGGAACGCAAAAAATAAAATAAAACAAAAAAAATGTGCATCTTTTACATATTGACTTTCGTTTATGCTAATGCACTTCCACAGTAAGGCGTCTAACGGGTTAGCCGCTACGCCACGACCACGCCCCCCATCACCCCTTCATTCCATTCGTACGAGTCGTACTAAGATGCACTACTTTCTCTCGCTTCCAACCGTCTACTAATTTTCCAAGTACATGTGCACGGGTCTTCCATCTTGACGCCATTCGTGACGTTTTCCATCCTTGCGAATTAACCGGGAATCATTTCCAGTTCCACGCCACCGGCTTACTTCCAAGGTTGTTATCTCCAATTCTGCCCAATCCTTCGAGAGGTTGGACACAGATGCGGCCATGAAAGTAATTCAGATGTGGTGGTGGCTGTCGACAATTCTGCTCACCTGTTACATTTACCCGCTCGGCGTTACTAAACCGGCACCTTGTGATGGATTCGCACCTATTTCCCCAATTTGTAATGGACTTTCGCTTCTACTCTAGACACAACTCAACTCGACAGTGGACGAAACAGGAGACAATCGGATTGGTGTGAAAGGAGAAAGGGTACCGGCAATTGAAAACAGAGCCCAAACGATACCCGGCAATGCAAAAACAGCCTTGTACTTGACAGCTACTCCTGCCTCTCTTGTCACGCCCTATACCCCACACACCCATAACTACACCCACACATACGGACAAAATTCCTAAGAAAGCATACAGTATCTATTCACGAAATGCAACAATAGATCGGAGTACGATAAGCGAAATCTGTCACGCATCAGATGTCTCGGTCTGCGGACACACATCCTTGTCCCTAGCCAATGGAAATGTTTATGTTACCTAGAAGGCTCAATGCTCGGCATAATGTCCGATGGCACGAGAACAGACTTCTTGCATGTGCTTTTTCCGATGACAATGATATCTTGTGCTAAGCTTGGAAGGTGGCTTGCGGGAAGAAAAAGAAAATATCAGGGGTGTGAGTGTAGACAAGGAACTCATGCATGTGAGTTTCCGCATCGTATGTTCACGGGCAGATCTGACATTTCAGGATAAGGCATCCTTTGATCTAGATCGCGACGACGACGCGTGGATTGTGGGTAGTTGTCGTAGTCGTTTGCTGGTTGTTCATGCGGGCCGGGGCATTTAGCGTGGGTAAAAAGAGGGGGATTGCGCACTCGGACGAGATCTCGATGATCGATCTCTAAACTTTCTTGGCCCCCCGAACACGATACGAACTTGGCCTTTTCTGTGTACTTATGACTGTGGGATCCTGACCCGCACCTCTCGGAGTGAAGCAAGAGGCCCATGCAAGGGAGACGGTGTGAACACGCAGGGTGTCGACACCACAAAAGGGAACGCAGGGGCGTCATCGCTCTTGCAGCGTGATACAACCTTGGAAAACCTGCATATACGTCGGCGTTGGAGTCCAGCCAGTCACAACATTGAAAGCCCTTACCAAGTTTGCTCTCCGATCGGAGGAGGGCGTTGCAACCGCAGATTCGGCGCGCGCTACAGCATACCATCTGCACACCATCGGTAAATTTAACATCGCAGCATGTACTCCATGAAGCAGGCCCCTTGCGTCATGCCGTGAGCGTTGCCACATGTAATCGCGTGCAAGGCTTCTATATCAGTATTGAAATCTTGGCTGGATTGTTCTACCGCGATTTGATTGCGATGCCCTTGGTGACTGCGCGGTCGTCCGTCCGCGCATCTCCTGTGTGGCACAGTTGCGGCGATAGCGGCTGAAGATGAGGTTTCAGAGCCGGTATGCACGGGATGGATGTGTATTGAAGCGGTATGGTGGCCGGAGCCAAGTTTTATCTCCAGCCTGACTGCTGTATCTGGTGCGTTCCTGGACCATAGTACAAAGTAGCCAATCAGCTGCGTCTAATATTGAATGCAATTTAGTGCAGCAATATTGTCGTCGGTATGCTAACCGCAACGTTCTTGATAGCATTACTCGCGAATTTCCAGGTCCAACTGCCGAAGATGCTGCCAGTGTACAGTATGCCAACTCCAACGAAATGTTTTGCTGCCGGGACTTCCGATTCGCTACATATCCCAGTTCATAAGATATTTTGTCCACCCCTGCTGCACTTGATTGCGGTGGAATTTGCCATTATGAGTTGCAAGCGATGCATCGCGCTTGTAGGCGAAGTGTGGTGCAAACCGTAGAAGGTTATATCGAACCTCAGGTATAGACAATACGTCGTGAGGGAGGATCCTTCCGCGCGAAGCTCCACTTGCAAGAAAAACCGTCGGTCGGCCCAATGCAACCGCAGCCCGTCTCTTGCCTCTTACGACCTGGCTGCATAAAGGGCCCTGTCTTTTGACAGCTGTCATTGCCACGGTTGTGATGAGAACCGTCGTCTTGCAGACGCGGCTTGTCTTGTGATCACGGCAGGGGTTCCTTTCAGGTCCGTCTATTCAGTCCGCTGCTAACTATGAGGGGACGGATTTACTACGCGACGAGTCAGGCCGCACGCATACCAGGAGGCAACGGGGAAATTCCGCCGGCACGCCCAACGGCAGTTTTCTTACGTGAGGTAAGATGCGCACAAGACACCCCAGTGATTCCATAACGGATGACGAGTCAGCAATAATGGTGTGTCGCGCGCGAAGCGAAGGAACTGGTGTGTTTGGTGCCGGCCCTCAGTGGTTGATGCGCCAATCAAACAATGGATGGGTCGAGCTTCAGGGAGAGCCCGCGACTCGAACGGCGGCCTGTGTTGTATTAACCTGCGGCGCCAGCTGGGGCGACTCCACCCCAAGGCTACGCTCTTGCGGCTAGTGTTTCGCTGGAACTGACGGAGGACGGTTGCGATTGCTGTCTGTGCATTCCCGCGGCCGATGATGTATCGCCAAGCGGGGGAAGCGGAAAAGGATATGAATGGCACTTGCACACTGCCGCTGTATCAGGAAGGAATTGACGCGTGGGTACAATGGTTTGTCTAGAGCATCCAAGTTCATGCATGGAAGATTGCCTTGTACAGAAAACCTGCTAACAAATGGGGCCTTAATTCTGGGTCAGGTCCGACGGCTACGTGGCTTCATCGTGCGTTTTGCGTCGTGGGCGGATAGCTCTACACAGCCTGAGCAAAAAGGTCTTGGGGCCCAAACTCCTCAGCTCCCTAGCACACTGAACGTACTATGACGTATATCATGCAGCCATGTCGATGCCGCATACTGCCGAAGCATATTAAGCGGCACTTGAGCATTGTTTTCGGCATGTGAGCCAGGTTTTAGGTCCGGGTACAGCAAGTTTGCAATCACGTTGCGGACCGATTGTATACCCACATTCTCAAACGACCGTCCAGGCGTTGTGACTCGACGAGCGTTCCCGTAGCCTCGCGCCCCCAGCCAGCGACGTAAGCCGTTAGCACGCCCCGAGAGAGTTTTGCCTGCGCTAGAGCCTAGATCTGCAATCGACACCCAGCGTTTCCCGAAGGCGCTGCGTGCTCCGAGCGATCGACGCTGACTATTTATACAAGAACGTTGCAAGGGCGTTCCGAGGTCTTTGAACCCAGTGATTCGGAATTGTTGCGGGTGCATTTCGTTCAATTTGGTGAATTCTAAGCGACCGATTGGGTTTGCATGGATTTCTTCGTGAGGCTAACATCAAAGATCAGCAGGCAGTCGCGTGAGAGAGGCGTGCCGAAGCCTGTAAGAACCACATCGAAACGGTCATGATTGGCGAGGCTGATGACGCCGCCCAGGTCGACACTGCTGATGAGGTCATTATCAACTGTGGCTCAATTGTATGCGTTCCATGTCTAGACCTTCATATGCTCCCCGCACCAGGGAAAACCGTGTGTAATCTGCTGCGCAATACAAAATCTACCATCTGCTAGATACACACATAACATCAGCTTACGAAAACGGATAAAAAGAAAAGAAAAAGAAAATCTTTTGCCTGCGTCGCCGTTGCGCAGTATGGCCGCTTTTCAGCCACATCTCAAATCCACGATGATCCAACTCAAAATCGATATTCGAGAGTATACCGGACTCGGCCAAACTCGAACAGCACCGAAAGACTCCGCTGTACCGGAATGGGGAAGTTGAGCGACGAATTATGATTAGCCGCGATAGCGAGTTCAACAGCGTTGGCGACTCGGGAAGCCCCGCTCGGCAGCCGTCAGCCGTGTCACCCTATCCCGTTTTTGCGAGTAGCAATGTAAGGGTGTGGCTAGTCATGCAGGTAATTCGGATAGCGTGAGCTGGAACATGCCCCGGGCGCCTGATTCGCTGCTTCGCCCAGTGGGAGGCTTTGAATGATGTCGACACGCTAGAACGTTGTTGCGATTGAATTTACCGGCTGTTGTACATGTGAAAGTCGAGACTGCGTCAATAAAGACTGCATCCAAGTTGCAAGGGTGGCCCAGAGATCGATCGGGATACCAGAACTCTGTTTCAGCGGATCCATATTGATTGATACTTTGGGTTTCGTACCGAACCGCTTTGACGCTCGTCGCTTGTGCGGGGCTTGGTGCATCCTTGTCCGAGCACGGAATGCTGGGCCCCTAATGTTTGGATAAGGTTTGTGAGTTTCGCGCTTTGGTAACAGGGTCGTTAGTGGGGACTCGACTCATGCAGTAGTCCAGCAGTTGTGAAGAAGAGATCAGATTGGGTATAGTAGCAACATCGTCGAGTGATAGCTGGTGTGATAGGCACATGCTGTCGGCACCGGAGACGGAGCGCGGACGAAGGAGGTGTGAAACGTAGATGTGGAGGCGTACCACGTACATCAGGTGATACATAGCAGCATCATGACGTGGGCAGATCTGAGCAGCAACATGACAAACGCTTCTCATCGTAGAGAGCTATGGTGGCGTAGAATAGATAACGCCGTGAAGAGGGTAACACTGTCGAGAATGATAACGCCGATCCTTTTTCTTAACCATCTCTTTCAAGCAGTAAACCCTTACAGTACCAAATACCAAAAATAGCAGCCAAGGCAAGAGCGTGAAGACGACCGGATGGGGGTATAGCGGACGATCTTCTTTTGCTGTCATGAACACCAACCCAAATGCAAATGCGGACGTGAATCGAATGATAACTTTCGTGTGCGGAAGCGTAATCGTGAACGGTGTAATGTAGACATTAATGACCTAGGCCGGAGCTGTGGAACGGACAGGTGGTGTTGGGTTGGATGGAGGGTCAAATGTTACTACTTTTCGGTACTTTGAGGCTTCGTGAGGTATCTCGGACTTTCGCTTGGCGGAAACAGGATGGGCCGGAGGACTGGGAGGTGAAGGGTCTTCTATGCTTCTACTCCGTGACTTATGCGCTGCTTCTGTCTCGGGCGGGCTGGTTGCAGCCGCGGGGCACATCTGGTGTTGGCGTACCCAATGCGCGTACGCTTCGTCGGCATATTTGGTGTGATTTTCCAGTCGTTTGATGTAATCCTCGGTTAATCTCGTCTGTTCGCGTATGTTCTGCGCAGGTGAGCTCAGTCGGAACTGGTTTTCTCCGGGTAAAGGCCGCTTCCAGCGAACACCGCAGTTCTTGCACCGCTCCACTTGGGGCGTGTTTTGCTGCTGAAGTTGCGCCGGATCCTCCATAGGGGGAGGAGCTGCAGTGGTGATGGCCAAGATGGCCTGCTCCACAGAAGGCTTGATAGTGTGCTCAGGCGATGGCTGTTCTTCGGGAGTCTCCACTGGCACAGGGGCTGTCGGATGGGGGTCTGGCCGGGGTCTTTGATTTGGCGGCATGTTTTCCGAGGTGTAGACGGTGTTGAATCTTACGTTGTAGCGTTGATGTCGTCCACTGCCGTTTGTTTGATCTAACGTTGGAGATGGTAGTGGTCTCTTGGATCCGGAGTCTGTGTTGGCGTCTCGCACTTGCTCTGGCGACCTGGAAGATTCGGCAAAAGTGTGAGGGTTGGAGGATGACGATGGTGAGGTTGCTCCGTTTTGGTTGCGGGTTCCTGTCTCTACAGATGGTTGATTTAAGCGATATTCACTCGCTGGGGAATGGGGAGAAGCGGGCCCAGCAGGATGTGAGATTGGCCGGGGAGCGTTTGGCTGACGACCATTACCCCCTACAGCAGGGTGAAAATAGGAAAAGGCAAGAACAGAGGAAGGAACAGTGGGCTCGGCTTCTTTTGAGGTGTCGAAACGGTGCTGGGAGATGGCCGAGTCTTGGCGCAGGCTAGCAATTGGCGGTGGTTGCGATGGTGCAGCGACTTCCTGGGGACTGTACGGGCCAGCAGTTGGCTGGGGTAATGAAAGAGAAAACCTTTGTGGTTGATGATGATGATGTTGCTGTTGTTCTGGTGCAAGGGGCGGGATTCTGGTGTTGGTGGGGCTGCCCAACAAGTCAGCACGCTTGCGGCAGGCTCTGTTACGGCTACTTACCTGACGTGCGGGCTCGTGTGATTGATTGCGGTGAACGAGGCTTGCTGTGCGGAACTGGCAAAGTCGAGCGCGGCGAGCGTCGTGGGCGGCGTGGATTGTGAGACAGGCCGGTCGGCGGTGTTTGCAGCAGGCGGCGGCGGGACAGAGTCACGCGGGCGGTGCAGGACTGAGTCGGACGACGACGAGGTCAGCTCAGCAAAGCTGGGGAGGGTTCGCTGGGGAAAGCGGTTGGGGTCGGGCTGCGGGTGCCTGCGTGGATGCCAGTCGCTCCCCATCATGGCATTCGGTCGTCTTAAGTTATTATCTGGCGGTCAAGCGGCGGCTTGAGTGGGAGTTGAGGAAGAAGGGCAGGGTCGCACAAGGAGTAGGGTCTCACGGGAAGAGTGGAAAGGGTCTAGCATTTGCAGCGACTTCTTGTGCAGCTCCGCTCAGGAAGAAGCGGCTGGAGGCCCTAGTTGGGGGGCTTGCAACAAGGGCATGTCACTGGTTTGCGCAGGCTGCGGGGGAAGGCGCTGCTGCACTGTGAAAGAGAGCTCTGGGGCCCACTTGAGATGGCATGCAGCGGGGACCTGATGCCGTCGACGAACCCATGTCTTCCCACGTCCTCCCATGTCGCCCACCCACAGCCACCCATGTCGCGACCAGAGCCACCCATGCTGCCAGCATGGACCTCGCACGGCGGGACGCCAGACGCGGATGCGTGCAAAGGCGCTAAGGGGCTCGGGGCAGGCGGCTGGAGATCCGCTTGTGGCATGCCAATCTTGCCAGACTCGAGCCTCCCCCCCCCCCTCGGGCGAGCACAGGACATGGCCGTGGCCGTGGCCGACACCAGACACCACGCTCCGGATCCGAGTAACGAGCGACTCCAGCATCAGCACCAGCACCAGCACGCAACACGAGTGCAGCGCACAACGTCCTCGGCCATGGGGCCTGTTGTGTGCACCTCACCTGTGCAGCCCACCTGTGCAGCCACCTGTCCGGCCGTGTGTGCCCACTGCGGCTAGCTGCTTACCTTACCTTGCCCTGCCCCACGTGACTCCTCCCGTACTCTCCCGACAATCTTAGACGCTGCCTGCCTGCCGGCCTGCCTGCCTGTGCCACTGTCCAATCTGCCTCTCTCCGCCAGCGTGTCCCTTTGCTTGTTTGGACGCGTGCGGCTGCAGCCGAATGAACGCAACTGTGGGCTTCCCGTCTCAGGGACCGACGCGCCGCGACAACGAGGCTCTGCAACGGGAAATGCGATGCTGCAAACACGACGCTGCCAAACGCGCGCGCAATGGCCAGACCAGACCAGAGCCATCGTTGCCATCGCTAACCACACCTGTTGACCATGACTGTGCCGCCTCCAGCCGTCCATGGCCTCATTACACCTCCTCAACTTGCCCGCCATATCAGAAAGTCCTCCTCGGACTCCCAAAGCCGTTAGCGCCTCGCACTCTCCTAGCCATTTGCTGTTTCGGCTAGCACCCAACGGTGTTTGTGGCGCTTGACGGCAAGCTTCAGCTGCACCCTCCTGACGCATTCAACGGCCATCTAGTGCCCTGCAACCCGACTCTGACCCCATTTGCTTCACCGATGGGACATGGGCGACCCTCATTTACCGGACCGAATGGGATTCGTCCCGCGCTCGCGCCTCTTCGACCAAAGCCAGAAGTGCCTGTCTCGGTATACCGACCGCCGTCTGATTGGCCCATTTAGTCCCTGCTTCCAAGCTTGACCGATGACCACACTTTCAAAGGACCTTGTCTACAAGCTTGACCACCCGGAAATATCTCGAGACACACTAAGCGGTGTGCAAGAACAACGACCAAGTCAGTCATCAAACTATCTTCCATCGCATCGTACGCCGACATTGCCTGATTAGGACTTGCCCGTCGTGACCATCGGGTAGCTGCGTGGCGATCCTACGGTGCTGTCAGCCTACTACGCCGCAAAGGAAGATCCTTCTACCATTATCAAAATAGCTCCATATATGGGGTATCATTCATCCGCGACTATACGCCTACCACAAAGCGTGTCCTGGACAATCAACAGAACATGCCTCCCTGAACCTGCGGGCGATAATGCAAGTCCTTCACAGCTCTAGCCAAAATGGCTGCTCTGCACATCCGGACATCGCCAGGCGAGTCTCTCCACTTCTCGAAGAACCAAGAGCCACTACGGGACGACACCGCGGTTTACCCACGGCCCGAGTACATGAGTCTATCATCTGCCTGCTCAGCTTTCCCCCAAGTTTCACGAGTGTTTCCTGCTGTGGTACAAAGTCATTCTCCTGAGGAGTTGCACCACAAGCCAAGCCGCTCATCATTCGCCTAGGCCCGGATCCAAGTCTGTTGCCTCGCCATCGACTGATTGCTCCATCTGCAGACCATGGAACCGCTGCCTTGCTTGCATTCACTCTTTGCTTGCATAGCGGCACGTCTTATCACGGACAAATCCACCTAGTGGACTCTCATCACTTGTCGCATGTAGCCATGCTCATCACGGACGTCTGTATAGGACACGTACGTTGCTCGCATGGGGACGTCGTAGCTAGCGAGTCCATCAATGCGGTTGAGCCATCTAAAGTGCTAAGCCCTAGACTCACACTCACGCTAATCCCTGCCACGGGAGTCCTTCCCCGCCTCGCGTGCACCACCTCATCCACGCTAATCACCTCACAAAGATCGACGTTGAAGAAACGTTGCGCCAATCAGCCCAGGTGCTGCATTCGCAATGTTTGGCTCGCAGCGGGCGGCAGCTTTGACCCACCTGTCTCTTGCAAGCTTCCTCACGTCCCTGTGGCGAGTTTCGCCGTCAGTTGTTCGCTTAGGCATGTACGCGTGCCTGCACGACATCGAAGGATCGAAGCTTTGAGATGCACAACACTCCCGACCTGGCTAGGTCGAAGCAATCCGCTCAAATGTAGTCGTCGGAAGACACTGGAAGCTCGAGCCTGCTAATCTCACAAAAGGTCAAGTGCCTGCTGGCCTTGACGCAACTGACTCACGCTTCGAGGATGCTCAATAGCAGATACCATGTCTTGGGCGAGACGGCAGAATTGCCACCCTCAACATCATGTTCAGATCTCGCCTGTTCGTGCCTGGCGATGGCTCGCATGCGTTATCTGGCAGACAGTGCAGCTAGCCTTATTGGTGCGAACATCCATACCTCATTTGCCAGTCAGCGTACTGGTGGTGGTTTGCCAACACTTTGCATATACGCGAATAGCACCATGCCGAGCCACCGAGAAGGCGATTGGCCTGTGACACTGCATAGCCTGCAATATATGGACCCCGTCCAAGTGATGGCCAATTAGTCGCTGCAGCCTCAGACTGCGAACTTGACAGCTGAAAGACTGTCACTCTGCACACCATCGGCCCTTCTCTCGGAGGTACCGCACTCACCCTTCCTTTTCAAGTGACAAACCACCATGCCTCGGCTCATAGTCGCATGATAATAGACGGTTAGAGACAATATCACGCCAGTGCCGCTTACGCTTACACAGGAGTGCTTACGTCCTAGGATCATCCAGGCAATGGCGTCTGCTGCGCAATGCCATTTTGATCACCTACACCGATATTCACTGCGTAGGAAGTCTATTGTGGCGACAGCCTCGATACGAAGACAGCCCCTCAACCCTTCGTAACGGTCTCTTGCTTCATCCTGAGCATTGACCAAGCGTTTCAAGGCATTTATCCTGAGCTGTGGGGCGCCATACGGGCCGCATCCGTACCTTAAACCAACATCTAAACTTCATGCGAGAAGCGATGTTGCTCATCGTTCCTGAAACCGAGCAGGGCCTCGTGGCAAAAGTGAAGGGAAGATGATTCGTGGTCGTCTGTGCTGACTCAAACATTTGCCGTCGGCTTCCGACGGCAAAGTTGATGGATGCATCCAACGGTGTAGTAGCACAACACCACGAAGTTATCCCAAGGGTGATCGTAGGGATGATAAGCGTCCGAATAAGGCAGTTCTCGTAGGTATCAACTCGCTGGTAGAGAGTACTAACACGTCTTCGGTATCCCCATTTTGCTTTTCGGCTGGTTGGAGCCGGCGTGCACAGCCGCGTGTCCAGATCGAGTAAAGACACGGGTAGCCACAGTGCTTCTTTATGCACGACATTCTGATCGGTAGAGATACAAAAGCAAGCGATGTTTCCTTCACTGCCTGTCAGTTGAAGATGGCGCAATGGGAACCCTTTCTACTCAAGGAACGAGCAGGTTGATCACGCCAGATCATCCCGGGAAAAAGCAATTAACCCCTGATGTAGCCTATTGGCACTATGGCAGTACAGAGCCAAAATAACCGAAGACATGGAGAATTACAATCTGCATGCTCATTGTCGATAGGAGAGCTTGCGACTACCCTGAAGGTGCTTCTGTCTATACTCAATCTGCCCAAGATGAGCGTTTACGCGCTGATGTAGAAGAAGGATCACACGGCTACAGCATCTTCGCCAGGAAGGACCTTGTCTTGAACACACACTCACGGCCTATCTTTCATCCACCTGACCTCCCTTCTATGCGCCTTACCTCAGCCTCCAAGTCCTGGATCCGCTTGCGCATCCAATCCATTTCGCCGTGATTCGCCTCAACCTCCTGCTTCTGTAACTGTTTCAGAAATAGACAGTCTTGGTTTCGGCTCTGTGCAACCGACAACATCTGGTGGAACTCTTGTTGCATGGCCCTAGTGTCGCTCCGAACAACTGCAATCAGGAAGCGCGCGGAGATGGCGTCCTCTTGTGACATACTGGTGGCTGGCGATGATGCAGCAACGCTGGTTGTGGACATTGGCGTAGAGAGAGTCTGTTGAGATGTGGTGGCGTAGAAGTGACCTTCTGGGTAAGGGCGCATCAGCGGATCGAGAGGATCGTACGATGGGTGGTGATTCGCCATTGGTGAGCTGATTGTCGGGCGTAATTAGATTTAGGGGTTGTTGTTGAGATAGGGAGAAGGAGGAGCGACGTGGCGATGAGACTAAGACTGAAGAGACTGAATAGACGAGGAAGATCCCGAGATTCACAATGCTCTGCGCCCTAAAGGCGGTAAATGATTTTGTGGATTACACTCAGTCATGCCGCTCTTCGCAAGCTGTTTCACCCCTAGTCATAGATTGATGACTTTCACTGCGTGCACCCTCCACCCACCCTTTCCGATAGAACACAAGGGATGATCCCATGTAGAGTTTCCAGTCACTCAATCGATGATTTGGTCTACCCGATAACACACTGTTGCAATATCAATAATCGCTCTGTACAATATGCGTAGCAAGGAACAATAAGCCTGTGGGTTCCAAATTCTATCCACGCAAGGCACTCTAGGGATACCCGCCATGTATTGCATGATGGACATATCACTGCAAAGCATAGAGAGTGCCTCCAGGCTACAATCTATCTAGGTATCATCCACACAGCGAGCTTCTTCTTATGTGCTAACATTGAGCGCGATAACAGTATGCCCTTCTCCCCCTCGTAGAGCCATTCCTACCATCTCGTCACCCGCCGTCGCTCAAACACTCCTCGATGAGTAGAACGCTCTCGATAGCGGCGTTGAAAGCCTCTGCCAGCCCTATAACTATTCGCCGCACGACATGCAGCTCCACTGTAGCCCGGTCGGTATGCTATACAACCCCACGGGTGCTTGCTGGTCAGCAAGGGCGACGCACAATCATTACAGCTGTCAGAGATTTGCGGATAACAGGCTTGTAGCAAGCTTGCCTGGCAGCAGATGAACAAGAAGGAAGTCATGATTCGATAGGAGTGACAGTGGGAAGACGCGAGTTCAAAGTCATCAACGAATTAATTCAGGTATCTACAACAACAGTCTCCCATCCTACTCTACTACTACAACCAGGACTCATTATGTTTACTCATTTCTAGGTCATCTTGGCTACGAATTTCTTGACCCTGCCAGCCCTGTCGACCTACGACGAAGATTTCTGAGCAGTCTCACCCATCTCGTACTCGCGCGCGTCCTGGAACAAGTCGATGATGCAGCTAGCACTCCAACTCTGCGTGGGACATGAGTCGCCACAGAATGCACCATCCTTGTTGGTGAGCTCTGTGAGACCAGCCCAGGGTGACTCCTGAATGGCCTTCATGCACCCGGCGAGACGGCGAGTGACTTGCTGGTAGCTCTCGACGCGTTCATCGGGCGTCTTGCGGCGTTGTAGATCGAACTTGAGCATGGCTCGTAGGAAGAACCCTGTGGGCCAAAGCCACTCAGGTCCTTGGTGGTAGTTGCGGCCCTTGGAAGTGTGGAAATCAGTCGAATCTTCGCTGTTGATGTAGTAGCCACGGTAGTTGAGATCAGAGGGATCGAGAGTCTTCATGCCCTGTGGACCAAGCAGGACCCTGTCGGCCATCTGGAGGGCATGCAAAGCGTGCTCGGGGTCGCAAAGATCTGGCGCAACCGTCATCATGATAGGGAAGTTTGGCCTCAACTGGTAGTCTTCGTACTCCTTGCCCGAACGGTACAAGTCCTTGTAGATACCGCGACGGTTGATGATGCTCGGGTTGACGTCGTACTTGCTGTCCTCGTCTGCGGAACGCGGAACGTAGAAGCAACGCTCGAAATTGGCTTTGATAAGGTCGGCCCACTCCTTGTAGGTAACAGTCTTCTTGCCATCCTCCAGATTTACACCCTGGTACTTGAATTGGCCTGCATCGTACATGTTGGCACACCAGCGTACTGTGCTGTACAACATGCCGATGATCTCGACCGGAGCACCATCTCGTGGCGTACCTGGGTGACCCTTGCTGCCGGCCTTCTCGCTCTCACCCATCTTGTCCATCCATGTACCGCAGTTCCATTGATTGCCACCAAAGATCATACCAGTCTCCCAATCAGTCCAGATCTTGATGTTGAAGCCTTCAGACTTCATCTGACTATCAATGTTCGGGCCCGCGTCGTACTCGCGGAACTCTATGCCGGAAGCGTGTCGCTGCAGAGCTTCCTGGATGACATCCTCAATGGTGGAGGACTGGGAGTATGCGCGCTTGTCGGTATGAGCAAACCATGTGTCGTCGTATGGTAGGAATCGCCGTTTAACTTTCTCATGAAGAAGCTCTATGCCATTCGGCACGATCTTGGTGTAGTCCTGGCAGTTCTGAAGGAAGAACCAGACTGAGTCGCGGGAGTTGTAACGCGGGTTCTTGCCACTGCCTAGGAGGTTAGGTACCATTCCATGCTTGAGAACGCTGGCGAAGGCAAAGATGTGCTCCTTGGCATCAGCAAACCGGCCAGTTCCCATGTAAAGACCACGAGCTGAGATAGTAATATCACGTCCCCAGCATCGCGCCCAGTCGTAGGCGAAATGAGGAAGACCAGCGGCCATACTGGGCACGCTCTTCTCTGGCCACAACGAGGCATTGTTTATGTAGCCAGTGACCTGGCAGCTGACTAGGGCGAGGCTCTTCAGAAACTGGTTGCCCTCTCGGACGTTCTCGCCCATGAGCTCAATTGCTCGCTCCACTGCAGCGTTGTATGCAGTCTGGATGACCATAGCAAAGTATCGTGGAAGCATGTAGCTAGGAACCTTGCGAATAGCAGCGAACTTTGCCTCCAGCCACTTGGCGGGACTCTTGATGTTGACGTACTCCTTCTTTTGAGAAATCTTCTGGAGGCGACCAAGGCAATAGTCGAGCGCCCATTGACCATCACGAAGATGGTTGCAGAGCGGGTGGCCGAGATTGTTGTCGTTTACAATATCACGTAGTACACTCCACCAGCCTTGCAGACCAGCGTATACTAGATTGCCGTGACCTGGAATATTGTAGGTTCCATCCTTGTGATCCGTGGCATCTCGCTCTTCTTCTTCACACCTGTACAAAATGTAGTTCAGATCGATCAGATTGACACCACTGAAAGCTGCACGCGCTCCGCTAGTGATGAACTTGTCGAGACCATCGTCGTGCTCTGCACTGGGTACCCAGGTCTCAAAGAGAGCGATACTTCCAGGGGGGAAGTTGTCAGGAATGCCAATCGTGGTATCATCGCCAACCGACTTGATTTCGACGCCTTGGAGGTCGTTTGTCTTACTGGGCAAGCCACGTAGTGTTGTTTTGTCGCCAATGATGCGTGCTCTTGTCTCAGGACTGTTATCGACTTCAAGATTCCAGGCGCCAATGAGCTTTGCTTGTGTACCCGGTAGCTTGGTCTCTCCAAAGTCTCCGTTGCCGTCGCCACAGCCAGGGAATGCGGTGTGAGCAATAAGGAAGTATCCTTTCCTGGTGTTCGGATTTACTCGATGAACAGTGATGTACTCATTATCGTGGTGGATGTAAGTCTCGTTGTACTCCTCCTTGCCCATCTTGACGTGGACCTCGTTGATGATCTTGCGGATGCCACCAATACCACCTTCGCCAGCCTGGGGCTTGATTGGGCCTCCATTGGAGTTGGCCGAAGAATACAACCTCTTCTCGTGCACAAGCTCGATCAGCTCGGGGTAAACCTCGTCGTAGCCAAAAACACTACCAGTTGCACAGTCGCACATGGCAACGAGCGCAGCATTAGGCAGCGTGTCGCGTGCATCCCGCTTCTGAGCAGGCGTCTCATTGTCATGCGTGCAATCCATGAATAACGCGTGTACAGGACTCCGCTTGATTCTCTTGATGATTGGCTTTGTCTGATCTGCTCCATCAGTCGCCTGTGCAGCGTTGAGTACTTCATCAGTCTCGAAGCTGCCAATAGGAACACCACCATGTCGATGGACCAGTCTACTCAGCTCTTGAGTACTCCACGATTGCATCGCCTCTCGAATTAGCGCACAGATGCCGAGCCTCATGCAGAACTTGTAATCCATCTCTTCAGAGCCAGTGAAGAGTTCAGCACAGACCATGACGTTCGGGTTGACGCTGCGGGCTTCGTCGAGCATATATTCAGCGAGATGCAGAGGTGTAGAATGACAGTTGTCAATACGGAAGCCTTGGAAGTACTTGGCCATAAGTCGCGTGTACTTGGCCATGTGCTCCCAAAGAAAAGGGTTATCTTCAGGACCGTCTCCGTAGCGGAGTTTGACGCAATCACCCCAGACAATGACTTCTCTCCTTAGGTATGCTCTCGACTTGGGTCCAGCGTTGTCTCGCATCGCATCTGCAGCCCATACCCAACCGTTGTTGACAAGAGCGAGAGCTTCCGGGTTGTGCTTCTTCGTGGTCTCGTTGAGTGGTAATCGTGTGAAGTAGGTCTCGATGAGTGGGTTCTTGTCGTTCACTTCGCCAAGCTTGGGACCATGGGCGTCTATCCGGACATATTTGATCCGATTGAAGAGTTGCTCCATGATCTCTGCTTGGTCTCCATCGTACTCGCGGTAAAATGGAAGGTTTACTTCGTTGAGTATAGCCGTCATAGTGCCTTGAGCTGCGCGGTTGTCAGGCGTGTTGCTAGTACGAGTATCATAGCGGCCGAACAAAGCACAGAGGAGACCGGCACTGATGTTCGGGTCCATCCTGCGACGGTAGCGCTCGCCCATGCGGTCGCCGCCGCGCAGGGCATGCTCGACCAACCAGTCGGCTTTCTGCTTCAGTGGCCAGTCCCTGACGGCATCGAGCCCGCGAAGACCAGCCTCACTAAAGCTGCCATCAACGAACTTGGCCTGGCCGGAGGTCCAGGCCTCCATGATGGCCTTGGTGTCCCTCGCAACGTCAACGACATAGTATTCCCAGAGCTTGACCTTGCTAAGGACATGTTCTTTAACGCCTTCCATAACCTTGAGGAGATCTCCTTCGTTGTTGAAGGTCGTGGGCAGACCGTGTTGGGTGAGCTCTTTGCCGAATTGCAACAGCGCCGTATCCAGCTCGAGAGCGGGTTTCAAGTGAGGAGCGGTGTCGACGTTGTAACCAGATTCCGGGTGCTCCTCAAGCCATGGGCTGTTGTTGGCCGTGTGATTCCAGACAACATCAGTCATAGCAAGCAGATTGAACTCATTCTGCATCCTTCGGATCATGTTCGCAATGTCCTTCTCACCCTCCTTGAAGAAGGCCTCGTCGAAGACCAGTTGGTCAGCAATGCTGTATGGCGAATTGGAAGACCCGCGCATCATAAGCGGAGTAAAATGAACCATATTGTAGCCACGCTCGCTGATTCCCCTCAAATGATTGTCCCAGTCGATGGGGTAACTGCCCATGAATTTGGACAGTGCAGAGAAGATGCAGACAGCCTCGACCGGCAAGTGCTCGCCATGCAACTTGAGATTTGGACATATGTCGATGTAGTATGTGTCCGTTCGTGTGGGTTCAGGAGATGCAACGTCTGTGAAGGACCACTGCGGCAGTGGCCTGTAGGTCGTGTAGAAGGAGAAGGCATTGGCCTCGTGAATGGGAATCTCAATCTCACACATACCCGTGAAGTCGGGCTTCAACCTACACAAAACATCAGCGACATGTGACCGGATAAGAAAGTGGTGACGGCTTACTTGTACTCGCGGTAGTTGCTGCGCTTGAATTTCTCGCCCTGGGCGGGGATGTTCACCCAGAGACTGCCCTCGCGACATATCGAGCTGGTACCCTGGATCTGGAAGCAAATCGAGTATGCTGGCTCGGTTGGAGGAGGCAGGTAGATGTAGGTGCCAGCGACGTCTGGGCAGCCATAGTCGGTCAACGGCAGCAAGTAGACGACCTTGCGGTCCGACGACTTGGAGTGGTGTGGTAGTGCTACAGACATGATGATGTCAAGAGACTGGATGGTTGCGAGGGAGTGTTATGTTGGTAAACAATGACAATAGGTGTATACGGTACGCTAGGATATTTATCTTTGACGTAGTAATGGCAGTGATGCAGTCGGAGACAGAGGTGGTGGTATGATGGTGGAGTAATGGGCTCGGCTGAGGTTAAAGGCAGTCCCGTGGCCGTGTGCGCAGTCGCTTCTGAGGGTCAATTGCCCTCTGTGTGTGGAGAGAGAAGGAAGCAGCGCCTGGAGACGTGTGAGATCGGCGGTGGGCGGTCGCGAAGCATATGAGCCGCAAGCGCAACCCGCGGGAGAAACGTCATTGCCCCAAGCTCTAACCCCAGTCCGCGCCCCGTTCCTGGGTGCAAGTTCTCCAATAGCGCGGGGGCTAGGCTTTCGGTCCCAACTCGAAGCAGTTGGTACGAGCACTGCGAGGGAAATTGTTGAATACGTTGAAACTGCCATGGAAACAGCGCTCTGCCATGCGACGATATCCACATATGGTACATATGACCCCGCTCAAATGCTACTTCTTCCCAGCCCGCTCTCCAACGCCTTTATGCAACATGATGCAGGAATAAATAAGCAGCTAAGCAATACGCGGTCCAAACTCCAGCGCTGGCTACTAAACAATTATCGGGCAATACTGCTGCCACAAACTCAGAGGGGTCAAAGGACGGGTATCGCGACCTCGTGGCAGCCCACACGGGACGAATCGAACATGCGAAAATCAAGCGGTCAAATCCAACCCTTCTTCTATCGTTGCCTCAAAGACATGCGCTAAGCATATAATTTGCTGTACTTTCAACCATCTCGTCAGAACTTAATATTGAATGGGGAGCCAGGTGGATCCCGGAGGTCCAGTCGGAATTGCGTCGATTCAGATGGTCCGCGACTGTGTTGTGCTTGAGTCGGTGTCGCGTTCTCGTCTAGGTCGATTGAGGACGCCTCGGTGCTAACCGACGGCGGCGCACGCGGTGTGCTCCGCGCATGATGGCCCCCATCACGACTGTCTGAAGACGAAATGACTCGCTCAGGCGAAATCTCACGCTCACCATAGCCGCCGCCGCCCCGCATCCGTAACACGGGGTTACTCGAGGGTTCCGACAACACCAGCGATGGGTTCGGAGGTGTAGCGCGTCCACTTCTCTCCGACGAAAGTCCTCGTGAGGACGATTTAATGTGGTCCGTAGACTGACTCCGCGTCGTAACAGGCTTCTTTGAAGGCTGGACTTGGGGCGAGTTATTGCCTTTGCCCTTGCCAGCACTTTGAGGTGGTCCATTCCTTGAGGAGGTGTGCTGTTGTAGTTGTTGATGTTGCTGCTGTTGCTGTTGCTGCTGGGACTCAACTTCTACAGCGTTTAGGAAGTTGATCTCGTCCGTCAAGAAGTCTTTCTCTGTCCAGCAACCCTGCCAACAGTTTCGCCAATCCAGAATAAGGAACTGGAAGCAAAAGGCGTCGATCTTGATTGCTGGCTGGAAGCAGATGCATAGGTTGTTGTAGTTCATCTTGTTGAACTCAGAGCAGGAGTGCAACAGACTGATATGGCAGGTAATAGCGAATAAGAGGTAGTAATTAAACGGGGGAAGCTTGGAGAGCTCATCCTTGAGCATTTGCGGTGTCGTCTTGGCGCCCTGGCATTCTTGTTGAATCGCGGTTTGCACTGCCTTTGGGAAGATCTCGTCGGGCAGTTGTCGGAGCCAGTTCTTGAACAGTGAGCCGATGACGTTTGGGTCGTTCAAGTTGGGGTCGCTGATCAAGTCGATGTCTCGGTCTGTGACTTAGGTGAGCAAGTATCATAGTAGCGATTAAGACGATCTTACCCTCATCGAATTTGCGTTCATAATACCGAACCTGTTGGGCTGATCCTGGAACACGATACAAGCCTTCCTCTTCGCAACCCCTCATGTTCAGGTAACTACGCTTATGGTTAGCCTGATCCTCAGATCCGTTCGAGACACAACATACTCTATGCACCGCCAAGGCAGAGCTGGCATCCAGAACTCAGTCTTATCGCGTGACTGTTCCAGACGAGTCGATATCCGTGTCAGCCTCGTCTGCTCAATCAACGGCTTGTGGATAATCTTGCACACATATGGTTCGTTCGATATGGGCGTCTGGCTTTCGTGATTGCTCGAGCTTCGTCCCAGTTTGCCAAATACGCCCTTGCGTGCCGAGTCCATCTTCTCGCCCATGTTGCGAGCCCCCGAACCCAGTTTTGAGATGAAGCCATGTCCCTTCGTTTCATTGTACGAGCTGGATGCTAACGAGATCTGTTCCGACTTGTCCCTTCTTTGACCGTAATCGGCATCCCGTTGGATGTGCTTGGATCCGTCCTGACGATCGGCCGAGTGTGTCCGTGGCTTGCCTATGCCTCGCCATGGTTGACCTTTATCCATTGGCGCCGTCTTCAATGGCATACCATCACCGTTGGTCGTCCACGAACCTGCAATGTCCGGCGAAAGTTGGCCTGGGGGTGCTTTGTTCAATTTTGTGCGAGACCCTGAAGTCTCACCTTCTTTGATGGACTTGGATCGCGACAGAATACCCTTTTTCGGTTTGACGTTGTTGCGTTTCGAGGAGTCGGCGTGCGGATCGGAGGAGTCGTTGGAATTACCTGACCCTGTCCGTTGGTCTAAGCGTACGACTTCGGAGCGATTGTCTGCGGTAATTAGCGAGGGGAGATTTGTCTGAGCTGGCATAACCATACCGTCGGAGTTGGGTGTGCGCACAGGACGGCCGAGGTCTGGTGTGGACGCACCGCTGCGCCCATTAGAGTATAGGCTGGGCGAGTGTTGGTTTTCAGGAAGCTGGCGTGTCGAGTTGCCCTGGCTGTTGAGGCGTGATGACGACTTGTTGGCACTGAAGTTGGAGAAGATGCTCTTGGAGTCTTTGCGAGGTTTCGGAGAGGCGGGTGACTGTGGCATGTTGTGAAACGCGGCATTCGGTGTCGCAAAATCGAGATCCTCAGGCATCTCTGGCGACCTCGGGCTTTTTGGACTCATGGGTGTGTTGTTGGCATTATCCTTGGGCTTGCCCCGCATAGCCAACGACAGTGTTGAAGATTTTGGCATCTTTCGTATTGTTTTCTTTGGAAGCTCCCAGGGCTACTGACTCCTTAGCACAACTCCCTTAAAAAGCAACGGCTGCTGCCAAGCTTGCAGGTCGAAGAGCGCACTATCTCGGTGAGTGTTTCTGGGACAAACGCGCCAATGTGCAGGCAATCGAGCGAATGTTGGAACGGACGATGCGGCGCGTGTAGGGTAGGGGTAGTGAGAGTAGGTTCAGTGGACGTGGCACATGGGTGGTTGCGCGGTCAACGAGCCTAAGTTTCGTGGCGGTCAGCAGCAGACTCATTCATGGCGTAGAGGGGTGAATGGCAGGTGAAGGAGGTACTGGGAAGCGCGCGGGGTAGTACGAACCGTCAGAGTCTGGTCAGCGCTCTCTGTAGGCGTACCTCGATGCGTCGACTGCGAGTGTTGAGTCTATGTCACCGACGGCAGGACGTTGCTCCCATGCAGGAACCCGGAGGGATGGACGATGCCGAGCGCGTGCAACCAGAGTCGGAGGCGGAGATGTGACGACGGTCGACCAGACGTGCTCGCTTTCGGATATCGAGTATCTGGGTCGCGGGCAGTGAGGCGGTCATGCAACGCCTGGAATATGGTCAGCAAGCGCTGCGGAACGTGAAAGGGGCCGGGCGGCGCTATGGCGAGTGTTGACGGTGTACAACCTGGGGGGGGGGAGGCGGGCACGAGTGCAAGCGGGTGTGTGGGTGTCGCAGTGCTGTCGTCGGGCATTACTTACCCACTTCACAAACAAGTCACGAACGACGACTATTTCTGGGCGCGGGAGAGGGAACTGGAGACAGCCCTGGAGGTCTAGGAGCGAGTGGAGCTGGGCTTGGCCGGCCGTTGCAGAGCGAGGGCGGTGGGCGGCGCCTTGGTCAGCAAAAGGACACAATTCACGTGTCTCCTGGTCGATGGTGGTGGTGGGCGGGGGGGATGATGGCTGGCCCAAGAGGCACAGGCTCTGCAATGCTGCGAGCAAAGGGCACCAAGGGCTGCGAGAGGATGGCGGCAACGACTTCAGCAGCGCGCACGGCCCCAGGTACGAGGGAGCGACGCTGCTAAAACCCCTACCCCCCAAATTCGGCCCATGGGCGCTATCGACTATCGTGCGCAAACGGGTGTCCACAGCGGGCGTAGTGCACGTCTGGCGGTGAAGGCAGGCTTCTGGCGGTGCTGGTGCTGCATTACCACTTGCCTCGCGCGCTGCGCAGCATCGTAGTGTGCGAGGCTGTCGCGCCCGGCGGCTGTCAAGTGCTACATGCTATGCTTCGTACAGCCGTGGATCGTCTGCCAAGTCTCGTTTCAAATTCAGACCCTCCCTCAATGTGCGTCAGGCCCCACCCCTGTCGGCGCCATGCCTGCAACAACAACTAGACCCTCCCGTGCCTCCAGCTCCCACCAACACCACCCCCATCTGACTGTCTGACATGTCTCTTGTTTCTGGGCCCGGGCGTGCTGCCGGCATGGCCAGCATGCCCGACGAGATGCACCTCTTCGTCGACAAGCACGTCCGCTATATCCAGAGCCTCGACACTGTGCGTAGCCTGTCTCTGCTCTGCCTGGCCGCGCAAGCACCCGGCCATCCAATCCCGCGCTGACCCGCTCCAGCGCAAAGATGAGCTCGAGTACTGGCTCACCGAACATCTGCGTCTCAACGGCCTCTACTGGGGACTGACGGCGCTGCATCTCCTGGGACACCCAGATGCTCTCCCGCGCACCACTATCCTCGACTTTGTCTTCTCATGTATGCATGATAATGGCGGTCTCGGTGCTGCCCCGGGCCATGATGCCCATATGCTGTACACCGTTAGTGGCGTGCAGATACTCGCGACGCTTGACGCTTTCGGTGACCTTGAAGATCGCATCCCCGGTGGTCGGCTCAAAATCGGAAAGTGTAAGTCATCTGTATATCTATGTATCATGATAGTGTACTTATAGTAGCAGTCATCGCCGATTTGCAAGATCGCGAGACTGGCACTTTTGCAGGTGACGAGTGGGGAGAGCAGGACACGCGCTTTCTCTACGGCGCACTCAACGCTCTGTCTCTGATGGGCTTGCTTGAGCTAGTCGACGTCGAAAAGGCTGCTCAATACGTCGACTCGTGCGCCAACTTTGATGGCGGATACGGCACCAGCCCGGGTGCCGAGTCACACTCGGGTCAGGTGTTTACGTGTGTCGGCGCTTTGACCATCGCGGGGAGACTTGACCTTGTCAACCAAGAAAAGTTGGGCGCCTGGTTAAGCGAACGACAACTCAAGAACGGAGGCCTCAACGGCCGCCCGGAGAAGAAGGAGGATGTATGCTACAGCTGGTGGGTCATGAGCAGCATGGCCATGCTAGACAAGCTGCATTGGATAGACGGCCAGAAGTTGACAAACTTCATCCTGCAGTGCCAGGTCGGTGCTATCTTGTCCTCAAATCTATCGCTGTCTAACCATCCCAGGATCCGGAACTTGGTGGCCTCGCAGACCGACCTGGTGACATGGTTGATGTCTTTCATACCGTGTTTGGCATTGCTGGTCTCAGTCTGTTGAAATACCCAGGTCTCGAAGAGGTAGACCCTGTGTAGTATGTGACCATTACTCTCCCAGTTCATCATGCGTACTGACTGCCCACAGCTGCATGCCTCGATCCGTCACTCGTAGATGCTTAGGTAAGTAGATGTTCAAGTGAGATACCACTACTAGTCGAATCACACGTGGGTGGTGAGGTGGGTGCCTGCCTGCATTCACATATGTTCCTAACCAGTATCTCTTTGCATACCCACGTAATATTCATTCATCAGTTTTCATCCTCCCGCTATCTAATACCTCGCGTTTCTGCCATAGGCGTCGAGACACAAAGCGGGAGGAAAGTGAGGGTGGCTTCCTCTTTCGTTAGGGCCGAGCTTTTCCACGTGCTCTGCCTACTAGAACACCACCGACAAATCCATCCTTGCTGAACGCCATTTACTTCAATACTGCACCTTCCCCTCTCCTTCATTACGAGTGCTGGCGTCTGTCTCCTGCTTTCCTTTCATCTACTCCGGAAATGGGCTAGGAGCTACCGCAGTGACCGGCAGCCATCTCTGTACCAGGTCTCTTATGAGCACCTCTCCCACCGCCACTTCACCTCATCAACCCGCTCCTTTCGCAACGCTCTTTGCCTTCACTGCTGTGCTGCTCTTGTGCTTGTTTCACTTACGCTCCTTACCAACGCCGCGTTCACACTGCGGCTCTCACTTTAATCTACTGCAGCCTCTTTAGGCCTCCGGCATGGCCAACATTCCGCTTCACTGCAATATTTGCCCCAAAAAGCCCAGCTTCAGCGATGTTTCACATCTACTCACTCATATTGCCAGCAAAGGTCACTTGTCCAATTACTACAAGGTCAAAGTCCGGTCCACCAACGAGGAAGCATCTCGCCGCCTCGTTGAGACGTACGACCAGTGGTATGCCGAATGGGCTGTCGAGGAGCTGATGTCGGAGCGGATGAATCAAAAGGACAAACGTCGCACTCGTGCGAGGACCACTGGTATGTATCTCACCTACATCCCATAATACTTGAGACTGTTACTGACCGCACACCATGTAGCCCGACCCGTGCCCACGCATCCGCTCAAGATTGAAGCCCCAGTGCCACGCCCCGTACGTCGTGTTGCCGCAAGCAACCTCCTTGATCCGCGTCTATCAGGGCAGCAGCATACCATGATCAAACTGGAGCATTCACCTTCGCCAACGCCCCAGGCTAATGGACCGGTCCTCCGCAACCGCAATACCTTCGCGCCTCATATGCAATATTGGCCTACAGAGTCACGCGCCAGCTCCCGTAGCTACACCAACCAAGATTACGACACGTCTAGTGAATACTCAGACCCGAGCGAGAGGCGGAGACCATACCGGTACACCGCTGCAGCTAAATATGCTATCGAGGACGAGCCTGCCGAGGTCGTGGACCCAATGGCCGTCAGTGAGTCAACCAAACTCAAGGGGGTATACTGGCCTGGGATGGACATCTTCGACTCTGCTACCCCAGAGATGCGTCGTAAAAGGAACCAGAAGAAGGACAGCTCTGTCGTGGAACAACTGGAACTCAACTCTCAAGAAGTTGAGGCTACTGAGCTCATCTTCACCCCATTGGGCACTTTCAAACGCCAACGCAGAATTTCATGCTCTGAGTCTGACGAAGACGATGAGACTGAGATAAAAGCTGAGAGTCCTCAACCAGTGCGCAGACGGCCTGCACTCGCCAATCTTGATGCCAATGCTACTCGCCGCTCTACCAGACAATCCAAGCGACCTGTGTTTCCCTTCCTCAATCGCAATCAATACGACGAGGACCGCGGTCCGTCTGGGTATGACCACAGTCACAATAACTATGCTCCAAAGCGGAAGCGATTCGAAGTCTTTCAAGACAATGATGATGTTCCGTTCTCGCAACCCAGCAGCATGAATTATCTCACGTCTGGATTCACACATCAAGCATCTCCCTCCCCAGCACCTGTGTTCACTTCCTACAAACCCTTCAACGATCCTTTTCAGTACGAGAACAAGGAGAACATCCTACCCCCGTTCCATCAGACAGGTTACAGCAACTTTGACGGGCAACAAAGCAATGGCTATCAGTATCCCACCTACTCCTATGGCATCGGTCCTGATCAGCAGGCCTTCCAGTACACTAGCCATCTCTACAACACCACAAGCGCCTACCACCAACATGATCAGGATGATGATGACCAACGCACGATTACAGCGCCGCCTTCGCCATCTACGAGCTGAGTGCTTATCACTTATGCAGAGCTACCCTTGAACTCCTCAATGCGACACTTACCCCGCGCTGTCATCATGTCGCAACGGATACCCACTTTTCACACTCGTTCCATCTACCGGCTTATGCGTGCGACTTACCTTTATGCGTTACGTTTTGGTGTTCGATTCATACATGGCGTTACATAATTTACACCGCGATGACTATCGGCATACGGTATAATGTAGTATGATTTCCTTTCGAGAGACACGCTACGGGATCGCTGGACAGATACTCAGGCATGTTCTTTTCCATTTCTATGCCTCACTCTACTGTAAACTTTCATAGCAAACATGGGCTTGCTGGTGAGAAGCTGGTGGTCATGTACAGTATCGCTGGTTGTTCGTTTACATAATTAATACAGGAGCTGTGATAGAAGCAAACGTGCTATCTGCTACATCCGTATGAACTGCACAGTATAGACATCCGATCCGCGTTTGTACTATCTCGGTCTCATATACGCACGTAGTCCTTTGCTTTCTGCCCAGCCCGCATGTACGTCCCGCTTCAATGTTACTGTGGCGTAGCAACATCCTCAATGGTTTCATCTACTCGCCTTCTCATAGCCATTCTGGAAATTTTCCCCTCTTTTACTCCCACTTCCCACTACCCCCCATGACTTTGTTCCGTCGCACCTTCTCCAAATGCTCCACACTCTCATACCCATTTATCTTCGCATACAACACTCTCAACAATCCACCTACGACCCACATAATCACCCCGCTTACAACAAACAACCCGATTCGTTGGTTTGTCGTAAGTATCGCAAAGATGGGGTAGGGGTAGAAGCCATTCTGGGAGAAGCAAATTTCCTAGTTGGGAGATATGGTAAGCTGGGTGTTCTATGGGGGAGAGAGGCGGAATTCTTACAATCCAAATCCAATATGTGAAAGCGACAACAGTAGAAAGGGCTAAAGTGATCATAGGCGCAGATTCGTTCATAGGCGTTGTGGGCCATGGTGGGGAGAGGAGGACATAATCGAGCGTTAGGACAACAGCGGGGACAAGATGGAAGCCTAGGTCGTAGATAGCTGGTGGTAGTGGTAGATCCGGAGGCACCAGAAGTTTCCCGTCAATGGCTTTCAAGGTCCAGTATAGTACGCTGATGGTGACTTCAATCGGTGCTGCTACTAAAGCCAGATAGTTCTTGAACCAGAAGAGGTGCTCAGAAAGAGCTACCGCGGGTGGATCTGAATTTAGAGAAGGAGATTTTGAGAGGGCGGTCGATGTGAGATCTGCGATGAGACCGAAGATGAATGTTACTGTGGACAGGGAAAGGCCGATTATGGTCAGAAACTGGAGGTGCCAGCCGAAAGACAAGTTCTAGGGATTCGTTAGACTGTTTGTTTGAGCTGCATGGCTAAGCAATGTACGAGTGAACATAGGATTGGGAAGTTTGCTGTTTCATATGTGAAACACATATTGAATAGCAAAAGTAGCGATTCAAATGCAATTCAGGACGAGTAGCAGTTTGGTACATACGAAGATATTGGGATTATCTACTAGACTTCGTATATGTTAGCTGGTAGTGTATACGAAATTGATAGAAGCAGCACATACAACTTGAAGGAACTATAGAAGCTGATCAGACCAGCGACCTACAATGCAAATCATGTCAACATCTGACCTTGCCTACTCCTGGTCGTACATGTATTGCTTCGTCACTTACGTGCAACGCGCCAGAGAATCCTTTAGATGGTGAGTCGAAACGCTGCAGCGGATGCCGCCGGCTCGTCGTGGGTTTGACTTCTCCGGGCTTTTTCGATGATGCAGCCATGCCGTGTGCTGGAAATTGTAATATGTACAAGAACGAAACGACGCCTGGAAAAGCTGAAATCCAAGGATGCCAAAGAAAGATGATTCGAAGCTTTAGAGATCGCAATTCTTTCGGGTACACAACATGACGTATGGTTTTTCAAATGTTCACCTGCCTGCCAGCCAAGACACGTGGGTCCCACTACGAATGCCGTTTGAGCCTCGGAAGGTTGCCGCATCCGAACATGACTAAATCCACCAGCAACAACATGAGCAACCTGTCTGCCAGACTTCCGTCTCTCGTGGTTTTCCCAATTCAACATGCAGCCCGTTCGTATTGCGTGTACCCATATCATCTGACCTCGAGTCGGTAAGCGACTTGCATCCCGAGAGGCTAAACCTCGGCGAATCTCCGAGCCGCTTCGCACCGCAGGCTACGAATCAGACCTCAATCAGGCAGTCCGCATGGCAAAACCTCGGCACGCTTACGAGTGCCACTACGGTAGATCCTGAGTTGCGCCAATGATGCGCACTTCTGCTTCTCCACACAAGCGTCTTGCGATGTACCGATGGGTACGACAATGGTGTGCCTGCCGGAGACACGGTCAGTGTTGCCGAATGGGAATGGGGAAGAGCGGAAGACCTTGGGGTACATATAGTAACGGGTTGTGCACCTTCGGGTGTGGCATAGAGCGCTGATACCCTTTCGATTACCTATTCTTTTTGTTGAGTACATCTATCACTACGGCAGAATAAACGATAGGGTGTGAGCCATCTCACCACTTCTTTGGATTTTTGAGCGATTATTCTTCTGCCCCGCGTTAACGCAAACATGAGTGCGAAGGTTGAAACTGTCCTCCAGTCCTTGACACTAGAGGAGAAGATATCACTCCTTGCTGGGAAGGACTTTTGGGAGACAGTACCTATACCGGATAAGGGTGTCCCCGCCATTAAGGTAGGACCTGCGATCGTACCATCTACCATACTTTACAGCTACTGACATAGTAAAATAGACGTCTGATGGACCCAACGGTGCCCGAGGTGAAGTATTCACAGGAGGCACACGAGCTGCATGTTTTCCTGCAGCAGTATGTTCAGCCGCGACATGGGATCCTGCAAACGCAAAGCGCATAGGTCATGCTTTGGCAGAGGAGACCAAGACCAAGAGTGCTCGAGTGCTGCAAGTCTGCCGATATCGATACATACACGACGCATGCTGACAAAGCGCCAGTCTTGCACCTACTATGTGCAACCATAGACATCCTCTTGGTGGCCGTAACTTTGAATCTTTCTCAGAAGACCCGTATCTTGCTGGCAAGATGGCCGCTAACGTTGTAAACGGGCTGCAAGAGAAAGGCATCGCGGCCACTATCAAGCACTTCGCAGCTAACGAGCAGGAAACGGACCGCCTAAAGGTCAATGAGATCATCTCTGAGCGTGCGCTGAGAGAGATTTATATGAAGCCTTTTGAGATCACTATCAAGGAGGCCAATCCCCTCGCCGTTATGACAGCGTACAACAAGGTCAACGGAACACACGCAGATTCGAATGAATTCCTTCTCAAGCAGGTCTTGCGCGGCGAATGGGGCTGGGACGGGCTCGTTATGAGTGACTGGGGTGGTGTCAACTCCACGGCTGACTCATTGAACGCTGGACTGGATCTAGAAATGCCTGGACCGACTAGGTGGCGCAGTGCTGATACTGTCCTCGAGGCTGTGAAGAAGGGACAGGTCACCGAAGCCATCATCACTGAAAGAGCGAGGAATGTGCTGAGGCTTATCGAACAAGTCGGTGGTTTCGAGAACCCGGAAATTCCGCCTGAGCAATCTATTGTCGATCCAAAGCACAGTAAACTTATTCGAGATGTGGCAGGACAGGGCATCACCCTCTTGAAAAACGACGGTGTCCTGCCACTCAAGAGAGAAGAGATCAAGGGCAAGACAATTGGTCTGTTTGGTCTAGCAAAGGAGGCTCTTATCCATGGTGGTGGAAGTGCTTCTTTGAATGCCCACTATCGCATCACTCCTGAGGAGGGTCTTAAGACTGCCTACGGCGACGATGTGGAATTCAAGTTCGCAAAAGGTGCAGCTACATATCGTCTCATCCCTCCTCTATCGAAGGGCTGCAAAGACTCCGAGGGGAAAGATGGCTGGACCATGGAACTGTTCAACAAGGGCAACACCAGTAAGCCCATCAAGACAAAGCACGGCAATAAGGAAGCTGCTTTTACACCTCTGCTCGAGCAAAGCGCCAAAGACAGCGAGGTTAGATTCACCACTACCTTTACGCCCCGTGAGTCTGGCTCGCATTATTTGGGTTGCTCAGGTATCGGTCCCACAGTCGTACACGTTAACGACAAAGTCGTATATGAACAGAAGCACAACTCTCCGGACCCGATGGGCTTCCTCTTCGGCGGAAACCCTGAGAAAGAGTTTCGCGTGCCGTTCACCAAGGGCGAGTCATACAAGATCCAGGTTCATTCGAAGCCACCCGCTGGCGAGTCAGATGAAGGCATCCTCTCGGGTCTTCCAGGTTTCAGACTGGGATTCATGTATGAGGAAGAGCACGACCTAGACATGGCCGCAGAAGCGAAGGACCTCGCAAAAGAATGTGACATCGCCATCGTCTTCACAGGACACACACCTGTATGGGAAACCGAAGGCCAAGATCAAGTTAGCTTCAACCTACCACGCGAAGGCTCACAAGACAAGCTCGTAGAAACAGTCGCGTCAGTCAACTCGAAGACCATTGTCGTAAATTCAACGGGTGTGGCCGTTGCCCTACCCTGGTTAAACAAGGTTTCTGCTTTGATACAAGCATGGTTCCCTGGCCAAGAAGCCGGTAATGCCATCGCAGATATCATCTCTGGCACCGTGAATCCCTCTGGTCACCTTCCAATCTCTTGGCCCAAACGCATTGAAGACGCGCCGGCACACGGCAACTTCCCTGGCACTCGGGACGACAAGGGACAGCTCACTGTCAAGTACGAAGAGGGTGTTTTTGTAGGCTACAGGCACTACGACCGCATCGCCGCAGACAAAATCCACTTTCCTTTTGGATTCGGCCTGTCTTACACGACCTTTGTTCTCACTGATGCACGTGTGCCTCAATCGACGCCCGAACAATTTGCGCCTAACGTCGAGGTCACGAACATAGGGGATGTCGCTGGAGCTACGGTTATCCAAGTATATGTCGGCAGAAAAGATCAATCGGCTGAGCATCCTGTCAAAACATTGGCAGCTTTTAAGAAGGTTTACTTGGAACCTCGCACGCAAGCGATTGTGCAGCTTGAGTGTGCGAACAAGGATTTCGCTTACTTCGATGAGGCGAAGGGGAAGTGGACTGTTGATCAAGGACAGTATGAATTCTCATTTGGTCAGAGTGCGGGGCATATCGAGCAGGTCGTCGTTGTTGACGTGGAGGGATCGAGGGGGCTGAAGTTGTAGGAGAAGTATTTAGGATGAGAACACGAAATGATTGATGATTCCAGATTGAACATGAGCCGTCTTTCTCCCTATCTCACTAGTTCTGTGGTCCTCAAGACTGCTCGTATGTGGACTTGACACGGTACTATAAAGCGTATGCATTGGCTGCGTAACATGCCAAATATGTGTGGCGTCATTGTGTACTCGAATGGACGTTCATGTAGTTCTTCCGCCATGTTCCAATACTACTTGCCCCTTCTTTTCTCTGGAGCCACATTTAATCCCTGCGTAGGTTTTCCTCTAGTTCTGCCTTTTTCTTCTATGATTCCCCCATCCTTTTCCCATCTCCTTAAGACTCTTCTTCCACCGGCACGTACCCCTCAGCTAACCAACTCCATATATTGAGTCCGATCTTAACGCCCTTCGTAACGGGTAACCCCGCATGCCAGCTCTCCGCATACCCACTCCCATCTCCCCGCATATTCTCCCAGAACACCGCATTCCCAGCAATCGGCTTGAAGATGACCCCCTTGCTTAGGTCTTCCTTGGGCCGTCCGTCCTCCACAGTATTCGCCGAGAGATCTGCATCTGTCGAAGAAGCGCCGTCACCACACTCAATAAATTGGCACCAACTTCCATCTTTAGGCCTCTCTAAACGCGGGAAGTGTGTTCCACCACCCGTGCAATTCGCTTCCAAATACACCATAAAAGAACTGACGCGTCCACTCTTCTTAGTCGCGGTACTCCAGTCGTAGTGGTATGTGTAATGGCCTCCAACGCCATATCTCTGGCTCCATAGTTTCTCAATGAAAGTGTAGGGTCGCCAGCCTTGAAAAACGCGAGCGCGCTCTTCAATACACTTCACTGTTTGGCTGCGGGGTAGGGGAGCCTTTTCCGAGTTGCGGATTGACGGATTGAGGGACTCAGTGCCGGAGGTCCATACGGTTGAGGGTGTGAAATGCGGGTTACTGTAGTGGGCTTTGTTAGTCTCAGGGAAAGACAAAGACGCAAGAGGAAACACGCTATGTTGTTTGTACTTGGCCAAGACAGGACATGCTACTCCATGAACTCAGGAAGATTCCTGTGAGCGATATAGTTCTGTCCATATGCAAAGACTAGAACAAGGTACCAAAGTTACGTACCTCAATGCCACAACTTCTTTTGCTTCCTCTTCGCCAATGAACCCCTCAATGTACACCACCAATGGCTCCCTGCTCAAGACATAAACTCCTTTGTATGCATGCGCCGCGCAACTCAAGTTCTTCTCTGGAATAACCAGATTCTCCAACTTGGATATTGTATCAACACCTTTTTTCGCACCAAGGCTACTGCCTGACAACGCTGAATCGGCATTTGTACGTGAGACAAGCAATGTCGACAAAGGCGCGCCCGCAAGTATATATGCTAGTGCGGCGAGGAAAGCATATTGAACGAATGATGTTATCGATAGTGAGGACGAATACGAGGACGAGGACGACGATGACGATGCGGAGGAGGAACGCTGCATCGCAAAAACTGCACAAATGACACGCCGCAAGCAAGCAAGAACAATAACGACAGTAACCCTAACCCGAACCCGAGCAGATCCGAACCGCAGAGGACAAAAGCACTGGAACCGAGAAAGCGCGTTAAAGAGTGCTGTGGAAAATACACATCCAACACTCCCCCTTCAAAAGAAATCCGAACTAGACAAAACTAGGAAACAGAGATCCCCACCCGGGTGGCTATGTTATCACCGATATTAAGGGTCCTCGTCCACATCCCGCACCACCCCACGTGTCATGCTGTTGTACCTGTATTCAGTGCGTCAGATTAAATCGAGGTTGAGTGTTCGCCCCATGGTATGTGCATTTTTGCCCGAGTGTGTCTGGCCTCCAGACAGTGTTTGGGTGAGTACTGTTGTGGCTGGATGCGCTGGATGCACCCTTTTCCGACTTTTACCCCTGGCTTATATAAACACGGGCTGATGCGCTAGATGCAAAGACAGGGAACAAGGGCCATGTGTCATGACCACATGTGATCCGGTCGGTTCTGCATGTAATCTGCGTCCAGGGGTTGCGCGCGTGGATTGTGTTATGCTGGATCCTGGTCTAGGATGTGAGGGTTAGGAGATCTAGAATGGAGGGGCTGAATGCTTCTCCCGAGACTTTGGGCGCTGTACTTTCCACATGTACTTTGCTACTTCATCCGCAGTTCGTAGACTTGCTTGTTTAATGATTATCATCTTCCTTGCACTTTCACTTCCTGGGTCAGAAGCAAGAACACAGCGATCAAGCTTATCGAGTTACCAACAGGTAGCATCAAAGCGAATTTCTGGGATTGCACCTCTATAAACGCCACCCTAATGGTTCAGAAAAGGTATCAAAACAAGAATACAGAAGGCAGGGTAAACGAAGCTCAGAACAATGAGACTCTGGCGTAATGTCATCAATCTCTCTTGAAATAAAGACAAACAGTTGGTATCCCAAATCTACGCACACCTAAGGAAGAACACTCGCTCGCATGCTGACCCAAGCTGAACAAAGTCGTCTCCTGGGCTCCGGGATGATGTCTTCCCTTTCAAATTAGTCCAGAATGCAAAGATTCTGGCTGTTCAAAATATGCCGTAACATATATAGTCCATACACTGGGTATGGTTCGCGCAAAAGTGGTATCCTCTGGCCTCTCTAACTCGACGTAAAGGGTCTCCCTGCTTATTCGGCATGGACCCGCAATGCTTCCGCTGCCCCCTCCTGTTGTGTCACCTTATCTGATTGGAGCAAACCGTGGCAAGTACTCTGTACAAGTCGATTGCTGTATCACTGTTTCACACCGTTTTCCCGTTCGTGCTGCTCAGCAACTTCACGTGCGTAGAACTCGACCAGCATTGTTCCATACGCCTCCATCTCTTCCAAAGGTACAGCGAGGCGAAAGTCGTTCAATAACAGGAATTGCAGCTCTAAGTGGTTCAACTCAACTAACGGTAGACCGCCGACCTTGATGTTATTAGCAAACGTTTACATATTTTGTGTCGGCGAGTACAAACCTTGGCATATCTCGAGTTTGTATAAAAGACGTCAGAGAAGAACTTGCTGGCGCACGTAACACCGGCTATGACGAGACGATGTATGTTGAAACTGTCGACAACGAAAAAGTGTGAGAGGTTCAGTGCGTCCACGTCGAGATCTTGCTGAGGCGGTGAAGGCGGCTGAGGGCCCTCGCGTGGTGTTTGCGAGGGCTTGCCTAGGGAGCCTGACGGAGGAGGCGTGGCCGCCTGAGCGGAAGCTGATGCAGGTCGTGTGCTATCTGCCGGAGTCGAAGCCGCTGACATTGCAGACTTTGATTGTTCCACAGACTGTTGATTAGCCTTGCGAAGACCAGACATAGGGCCAGCATTTACCCTCTCTGTCATCCTGTCGAAGTAGACGAGTAAACTCAGGAAGACCTCATAGGTGGTTGGGCAGTATTTGTGAATTCTACTCAGATAGCTGAGGATAGAGATGCTGGGGACGTTCTTTCCATGAAAAGCCAAGACGCTGGTTGTCTGTTGGCTCAACCCTGAGGTGCCCTCTGATGGCGGGATTTGGCGGTGCAGATGGTCGTGCTGCCGATCGTTGGTAGTCGTGATCTTGGTCAGCAAACCAGCCACCATTTCGATTATATCTGACACGGGCATCTCGCTGATCTCGTATTGAGGCCCGACGTCTGCAGGGTCTCGTCGCTGCCGCCGTGCAAGCGAGCGCGACTGGGAAAAGGGACTGGACTCATCGATGGCGAAGCTCTGGATATGCGACAGACTCTTTACTTTTATCTTGGTAGGAGAGGCTTCGGGCGATCGCAAGGACTGTGCTGGACCTGACGAGGGAACGGTTCGGGTGTTTGTGAAGGCGGGGTCTACGCCCGACGGGGTCGGCTGTTGTGAGTGGGGACGAAAGTGCGGACTGGGTGGCGTCGGTGCTGCTTGTTCGGCAGCGGGTGCGGTGGTGTTGGGCTCGGAGCTGTTTTGCTGCTGCGATCGCTGGCCTGGTGTTGAGCTCGACTGCGGGGCTGCCGAATCGGCCATGGGAACATCAGCAGACGGAGCTACCACACGCGGCGCATTGGTGCTCGAAGACGGCGATGGCCGTACGGGAGTGTGACGCCCGGCAGGAGACTCTTGTGACTGATGCGTGCTGCCGCCGCCAAACATGTTGGTGTGAAAGTGGTTCCCACCGAAGTCGCTCACCAAAAGCGAAGTCATTCCGCGAAACCAGGCTGCGCAGGGACGTCGAGTGCAGCGGGTCTTGACGTGGGGGAAGGCGCGGCACAGCGAATGCTTGCGGTGCACCAGGGAGTGTGCTTGCGAGGCAGAGTGGATCGGTGAGAGATGTCGGTCGTGTTGTTGAGCCTTATCGGAAAGAGCCCGAAGTTGGACGCAGCTTAAAGGGGCGCAGGTATCGCGTGCAAGCCTGCTGCTCTCTGCCGTAACCAAAGTAAATTGGACGGCACGCGTCGAGTCAAGGTAAAGGTGAGGATGCGCGCAGGATGGGCTTCCAGCGTGAAGAGTGATGAGGTGTTGTTCGACAAAGGCGTGGGGAACCCGAACGTCACAGACCAACGACTGGCGAGGTCCCAAGAGACCCTGGCCGCAATTCACCTGCACCGTCCAAAACGCATGTGACGACACTGTGCATCTACTCTCTCTCGTTTCGGCACTGCACGCATACCGCCACAATTTGCAAAACACTCGAGACGGTCCTCTGCAATTCGGACCGTCCCGCCACGTGAGAGAATGGATGGAACAGGGCCGCGCCAAAAAAAACACCGGCGACGAATGCCCTGATGCTGCCTGTTGATTGGCCAGTGGTTGCGCCTCCATCCCACGCCTACTGCCCGAGTTCCGGTGCATCATGGTAACCATGGATTCCTTTTGTCTCATTTCGCTCATTCAGGTATCATCATCATGTCGTGCTATATCATACATGGTGTGCCTATGTACCCACCACCGTCATGACGACCACTTCTACTGCTTGCCTGGCCCATCGTAGTTCTGGTCTGGCAGG